AGCGAGGATATACCTGTTAACGACTTTAAGAATATACTAGTGGATGTGGAGTAGTCAACAATGAATTACATATCATATCTTCTTTAATTTACTCAATGATTATTTCAACACATAAAACTAAAGTGTCTCCTAATTGGACCAAATATTATATAAATACACATTTGTGCATATGCACACACGTCAATAAAGACACGAAAGGTAAATATAAAAAGAGTTTTTTTTTTTTTAATTTATTGTTCTATTGTTTTATGTTAGTGAAGCTTACAATGCAGGCACCAAGATGTAGTTTCGTTTTAATTTCTCGTGAAAAGGTTCATTGAATGTCTGCGTGCCTACACTATTAAATATAAAAAAGAAAATTTTATTCTTAAGCAATTTTATACATTAAATTTATCATAAAAATGATATGATAATATTATTTTTATTAATAAAATCATCTTTATATATTTTTTTAAAAGTAAAATTTACGTTCAGCTACGTGCACATGTTTGGTTGAGTTTTTAAAAAATTAAAAACGAAATTAATTTGATGAAAATAAACAGGAACAAAATATTTAAAATTTTCAAATATTTATATCATAAAAGAGAAAATCATACAAAAATTACAAATGTTTATTATTATTATTATTATTTTATTAAACTAGTTGTTAGTTTTTTTCAAAAAATAAAAATAGAAAATTATCATTAATTAATCGAATATAAATGGATTCTGAAAAGAAAATATTTGAGACTCCAAAAAAAGATGTTTCACTTTTTCATTTGTTACATATACGGTTCAATTTTCTTATCACATCATTATAAATAAATTTATGAGTTTAGATAGTAGATTCGTAGCATTGCTGGTTTTGGAATTTAGTGGCGGCTTGATATTTCGCATTATTAAATAATAGTGTCATTTGTGGTCCAATGATGTTGCTATTCCTCCTCATACACATATTTAGTTAAAAGGACATGAAATAAAATAATTATAAAAAAAGAAATTGAAAAGTGAGTTTTAAAATAATTATATTATGTAGTGTTTTGTTGGAATAAATTTGACACATAAAAGATTTATATGAAAATGAAATTATTATTTTATTGTCTAATTAAAATACAATTTCTTCAAAATAAATTATATTTATTAATTGATGATTGTGGGTCCTGTTCTTGTTATTCTGTCTTTAGGAGTGTTTTGAGAATATGATTTAAAATTATTTTTTAATTTTTTTAAATTTTTTTATAAAAGAGAAAAATTAATTAAAAATTAAGAAGTAACTTTTAAGTCACTTACCAAAGCACCCCTATTCCAACTAATTTGGCTCATAGGAGCCAGTGGGCCACAAATTTTACATAGAAGCCGTCTTAACAAAATTGGCATTGGCATCTTAAAACCAACCCTGGCTAATATGTGGATAAAATTTTTTATCTTTCACAAGGAAAAGTTATTTATAGTGTATCTCTCCCTCACGGATACGTATATGTGCAAGTGAAAAACAATATTTTAAGGAGCAAGGATTCCTCATTGACTTTCTTCCTTGACTCTTTACTTCCTTGACTCTTTACGTGATAGGTCATTGGATTCACTTTTGAGCTCAATTTCGATGATCTGGGTCGTTCACATTTTAAAATTTGTCATATATATCATATCTGTACAAAATTAAGTCGATCGGATATAAAAAATCACGTGAACTAAAAGTTTTATTAAACAATAAAACTGTTTATTAAATTTTTTTAATAAGTGATTTTTAGTTCTTCCAATATTCGATCAATTTGATTTTTTATAGGTATGATGTATGTGAAAAATTTTAAAATGTGAACGGTTCGGATCATCAAAATTAAGTCTAAAAGTAGACCCAATGGCCCATCAAATAGGGAGTTAAGGAGGGGAGTCAAGGAGGGGATCCTTGCTCTATTTTAAGAAGTGGCTTAAAACCCATTTCCCACCTTTTAATCCACTTCTTTCTCTCACAAAAAAAAAAAAAAAAAAAAATCAAAAAATAACTTTAAACATCTTCCCAAAATACTTCTCTATTATAGTGTCTTCATTACATAAAATATTATCTCTGCATTTATTTTGAGAAGATGATTAAAAGATAATTTTTTATTTTTTTTTTGACATTTTTTAAAAAAACATGTAAAAATTGTAAAAAGTGATGTGATCAAAAATAAATTAAAAGTTAGTTTTTAGCTTTTTTTTTGCTCTTTCCAAAAGAGTCCACTTACACGCCATTTTTAGTACAATTTATGAAACTATTTATAATTTTTTTATTTATTTTAAAAACATATACTAGAGTGATTGGAATAATTTTTACTTGCAGTTTATAAAACGTAAATAACATAAATAAGTTTTAAAATGTATAATTGAGAAGCAACAAAAAAGGGCACCTTTAACTTCTACTTTTCACTTATTTCAAGTAAGAATAATGCTTGAGACCCCCTTTTGGAGGTCACCCCCTCACCCCCTTTGCCACGTGACAGGGGGTGATTGGTGGAGCAGGAAAAAAAAGAAAAAGAAAAAGAAAAAATAACCAATGAGAGAGAGAGGGAGTCAAAGGGGGTGGGGGAAAAGGGGATGAATCATTACTCTTTCAAGTAATAAGTTCTTGTAACTAGTGCTGGGACCACTTTCTATTTATCCTTTTGTCATCATTAAGTTCATTGATTCTCAATTTGAATGTAAATTACGGCCATGAAGAGATAGATTCACAAAAAAATAATCATCTCCCTAATGATATGTTTAGATTTTAGACATGTTAAAGAAAATGAAAATGAAAATGAAAGAAAATAGATAGGAAAACAAAATAAAGTTGAAGAAGCTAAATTTATTCATTTTTTTTGGGAAATATTGGAGAAAATGAATAGGAATCTAAGTTAAATTATTTATTTATTTATTTTGCTACCCACAAAAATGAAATATATATAAATAAAATAATTTTTCTTGACAAATTTAATATTCAAACATAACATAAGATCTTTATATTTTGATAATCATTATAGGTACAAAGTCAAGAATTATTATTTTCGACAAATCTAATTGTTATATACTTATATGTAAAGGTCAAGGATTCCTTATTCTTAATTATTATTATTTTGGTTCATAATCGATAGATCATTTAAAAATATAAAAATATGTTCTAATAATTATGAATATTTTAAAATCAAAAGATATAAAAATATGAGACAGAAGATCTCATACCCTAACCAATCGAATCCACCTCTGAACAAGGTTCAATTATTGATCACAAAACTATTAGGAAGAGGAATAAGAAACAAAAAGGTTCAATTATTTGCTTTTGTTGACTGTTTTTGGTGAGACTGCACCAAAATAAACTTCAAATTGTTAAATAAGTTTTAAAAAGAAAAAATAGAATGTATAAAGTTCAAAGTATAGTGTTAATATTATTACTCTTTAAACACATGCCATAAAAATCAACCTTTTTACAAATTTTTCTTGCCCACAACTTTGAGTTCCTACCTTCTAATTTTTGACAATTCTTTCAAAGATAATCGTTTGAGAATATATTATTTTAATATTTTTTTAACTTTTTATGAAAATATATGTAGAAAAATAGAGAGAGTAATGTGACAACTTATAATAATTTTTTGGTTAAAACTAAAGTTGCCAAACAAGACTTATTAATTTAAATTCCTTAAGTATAAAATATGTTATTTATAATTTAAGACTGGTTAGGGAAGTGATTTTTTAGCTACTTTTTGGCTAAGAGTCATGCTAATGACAGTCCTAAAGTCTCGTTTGACATGTAACACTTTTAGTTTAAAAGTAAAAAAGTTACTAAAAAATCAAAAAGCCTATAACCTATACCAAAAAATCAAAAATTTTATTTTTTCTATATTTTTTACACATCTTTTTGTAAAAAATTAAAAAGTCATTTTAAACATATTAATTTTTTTTATCTCATATTTTAGCTAAAAAATTAAAAAATTATTAAAATAATTTATTCCCAAACGAGGTCTAAGAGTCGTCAATAAGCACCACAAAAGTCTAAAAAATTTATAATCTTAATATACTTTTCACATATTTTAAAATATCTTTAGACATTCCAATATTTTTTATTTTGTAATGACTTTTTAACAAAATTAACTTATTACCAAATGTATCCTTACTTAGGTGGCGGTGCTAGTGTCACAAAAAAAGAAAAAAAAGGAAAAAAAATAATTATTACTTTGACTTAATTTTAATTTTCACCATTTGAAAAAAATATATATGAAAAAACACTTATATATTTATTATTGTGTGTTTTCATTGAAAACCCACCATATAGTTTCCTTAAAACAATTGCGTCTAAGGAAGTGCTAGCATGGTTTGATGGAAGTTTCCAAGACTAGTCCAAGATTACTTTAAAACTCCAATATCTCTGCTAAGATAAAAATAAAAATTGCATCAAGAATAATGCTTGGGACCCCCTTTTGGGGGTCACCCCCTCACTCCCTTTATCACGTGGCGGGTGGTGATTAGAGGAGCAGGAAAAAAAAGAAAAAGAAAAAGAAAAAGTAACCAATGAGAGAGAGAGGGGGTCAAAGGGGGTGGAAGGAAAAGGGGGGATGAATCATTGTTGATTGCATCAAATATGAGTATATATTACTCTAGTTTTAGGTACCAATGTATGGTTCTTCTCCTCTAGTCCTAATGTTGTGGCACCTTGTTATTTTAATACTTTAATCAAAAAAATTTAAAAAAAAATAGATTTACTTAATCTAAATACACTTAAAAGGAATAAATTTTGTGATCTTTTTTTTTTAAAATTCACTAAATACAAAAAAATATTAAAACTCAGTATATTGTCGTATTTTTTTGAAATATTTTAAAATTCATTCACAAATATTTTATTTTTTAAGTATATTTAAATTAAGTGTATTTAAAAAAAATAAGATAGTTAAAATAAAAAAATTCACTAAAAAGAAATTCAAAACCTATATTTGAAATTTTAAAATGATTTTTTTAAATACTACAAATGAATTTAGAGAGATCCCTTGACAGTTATATAAATAGAGGGGTTGAGCATACCAACTCTTTGCTTCCAACCAACTTCCCCGCCATTTTTTCCCTCTGAATGAACAACGGTCACGGACCATACTTTCCTCCCCTTTTCTTCCCAACTTTCTTTTATTTTCTCTCTAACCAAACATGCACTGCACAGTCTCAAAAACACCACCTTGCTTCCTCACTTTCACAACAAAACTCCCCAGCCCTAACCCTAGACAGATTCAATTAACACCCAGAAAACAGAATCCAACAAAAACACCATTTAGGTCTCTGAAATGTATTCAAATCCCCAATTCACAGTATTTTTCATCGATACCGAACACCCAAAACACTAGTTCGTTGATTTCGTGCTCATCTGCGGGCAATAAGCTGCAATGTTTAGTATCAGAGTTCAAGTCTCTGTCTCAGCCAATCGATCGCGTGAAGCGATTGTTACAGTACGCGGCTCTTCTTCCTCGATTCGATGAATCAGCTCGATTGGAGTCCAATCGAGTCAAAGGGTGTACAACCCAGGTGTGGTTAGAGGCGAAGATGGATTCAAAGGGGCTAATGAGGTTCAGAGCTGATAGCGATTCGGAGATCACAAAGGGTTTCTGTTCTTGCTTGATTTGGGTGCTCGATGGGGCGGTTCCGGATGAGGTTTTGGCGGTGAGGGGTGAGGATTTGGTGGATATGAATGTGGGATTGTCAGGTAGGGCTCATTCGAGGGTCAACACTTGGCATAATGTTTTGACGAGTATGCAGAAGAGGACCAAAACTTTGGTTGAGGAGAGAGAAGGAAAATCGATTTCTGAACCTTTTTCTTCTTTAATGGTCACTAATGTTGATGATATCAATGGTAATGGAACTCACACAGAAACACAGGTTTGCAGCAACTTGTTTTCTGTGTTTTTAGCTCTGTTCTTTACATATATAAATGCTTTTATATTTCTGTTTTTAGTTGATGATTATATAAGTAGGAATCATAGTTCTGTCTTGAATGGTTTAGTTTGATTTTTTACTTCAATTTATGAGACAGGACATGGAAAATTGATTTAGGAATTAGCTACACATCTTGTGAGAGATTGTAATTTTTGTGTAGTGGATGTTGTTTTTTATTCAAAGTATATGGAAGTCTTTTTTAAAAAATTTAATTTGGATTTTTTTTTTTATGTTTGTTGTAGTTTGAGCTTATTGTTTTTGGGTAAAAAAGCTTAAATAAGCTTTAAAAAAGAGTTCATTATCATAAAACTGAGTGAGAGATGTTTTAAGGTTTTGCTTATAGATTATCAGCTTCCGGCTAAGAATAAATTGTAGCAAGTGGAGTTAAAGCAAATCCAACTTTCTTGGTGATTTCCGGGTAGTTTACCAGACAATTTAGATGTGAAATCATTGTCAAGATTATTTTTTTTCTACAGAAAAACAGGTCCCGCCTGTTTTATAAAGGAAGTCAGGCTTTAGAGTGGTCCATGTCAGATTTTTTATTTATTTTTATTTTTCTGAGGTTGGTGGCAAGAGATTAGCTTATGCTTACCTACATTTTATATTCTTTTAATCCATTCATTATGGTTCAAACTGGATATTCATTTGGGCAATATTATCCTTGTGTATTGTAGGAAAGACTTTGCAGTCCTGAAGTAGTTCAGTTGTCTTGACTGGAATCAAATGGTATCACAGTTGATCTTGCGCTCAAAGTTGCTTTCAGAGTTTGTTGGGATTTGTAATAGCAAAAATATCAAACCTGAAGAAGCAACAGCTTTGAAATCATCCTAGTGGTCTGTTTCATAATTTCCTTGTTAGATGCATTTTGATGTGTATATGTTTGAAAAACATAGATCAATCATCATATATGCAGAGGGATGTAAAATAGATTTCTCAACACCCTAAGTTGGTAGGTAAGATAGGCATCATTACTCAATGATCATAATCAAATGCAATCTTGCTCAGATTGTTTGTGTCATCTATATGTAAAGTTTATGGAAAACTGAAAGAAACCTGCCAGGTCCATACAAATTGATTGTTTCATGTAAGATTTTCTTGGAGTTCAGTGCTATTTATGTGCATGGAGCTACTATTAAATGGTTTGGATCCACTCAGAATATTGGATTCATCAAGCCTGTGTGATTGAATAAACAGGACTCCAGGAATTCTAGGTTTGATTTGATATATCAGAATGAATACACGATCATGCACTTGTGCTTGCTTGCTTTTATAGTAGGAGTTCCTTGAACCAATAAAGTACCATTGGCAGCCAACTGCATCTTTTTTTCCCCTTTTTTGTTTTTTTGTTTTCTTGTCTATCAGTTTATTTATTTATAAATAATTTGATAAGGAGTGATTCATTTTGGTGCATATTCTTCAAATTATCGTTTTATACTTCTGTTGGCCTTTTGTTGTTTGAGCATTTCCCGCACAAGCATGTTGGTAAAAGTATTCTTGTAGAAGAGAACTTTCTAGAAGTTTTTAAGTCATTGGTCGAAGCAAGAAATTTCTCACAAAGTTGGTTATTCGGTTTGCTGAGGTGAGTTTCGATCAATCTACTAGTCGCTATCTTTGATTTTCCTGAAAGCATCATGATCGTAATCTGATTCCTTATATTGCAGGTAAGAACTGTAATTGTTTTCTCAGCCGTTTCTAGATGGATCCGGAAGTTGAGGGTGTCTTGACTGCTACTCAGAAGGGCTCATATCCATAAATCCGATTAATTCTGGCAGATTCGGCAGTAAAATGGAAGAAGATGGACATCATACTACTCATTTCCTACATCTGAATTTTTATCTGAGAAAGTATGCGTGCAGTCCTTGACCAGGCTGTTTTTTTTTTTTGACCAGGCTGGTTTAGAAAGGAACTTTTAAGTTGTATTCTCATCACTAATGTAACTTCGTTCTGGATGATATATGTGGCACTTTGTATGGCTTTCTCTATATGAGAAGTTCCAGGAAATAAGATGCTTTTTTTTTTTTTTCAGAATTTCGCTCAAAACATAATTTATCCTTCGTGTGCTCTTGCCGGTTGTTTTTGGAAACACATTCATTTGAATTTCGTTAATCTGTTTGCGTGGGCTATTGTGATTGTTTTGTTTGATTCCTATCGTATTCTTATGCTGTTGGTTTGTGCATGGCTTAAACACCATTACCATCGTCATTATTTTCAGTTTAGTATCTCCTGGTTTATGCTGATTGTTTGAACTTTTCTGATGCAAACATCAGCACAAACATTGATTTTGTTTCAACAAATGCAGATACTGTTAGGAGTTGCAGAACTCCTAACTAGGGTTGGTGAGACACAAAAATATAGAAGAACAAATACACAATAATTGTAAATCAAACCCACGCATCAAAACAGAAGATTTATATGGTTTACTCCAAAATTAGGGTTACAATATATAGAGTAGGGCTACATGACACAAGTGTGGATTTACCAAAATGCCCTTACTCAAAGATTCGAGTCAGGGCTAGCTGCCTAAATAAGCTTTAAAAAAGAGTTCAGCTCTGCCCCTTACAACTCCTGCTGACTTACTGCAAAGTTGAATGTGTGGTCGAGTTACTAGTGTCCAGTACTTATATACACTACATATACTTGGTGCAACGGTGATAATTGATTTTGTTTGATTGAGGACACACAACTTTTTTGTTTTTTAATCTTCATAACCTTGGCAACAACAGCAATGACTCAAATCATTTCAATTAACAGGTTGCTCACTAGATGAATGCAAGTTTCAAATCATTCAACCTCAAGCTGCAGATTGCATTTTATTTCTCAAAACACCGATGAGTTTCACAGTAAATTCAATGGAGACAAAAAAAAAAAAAAAAAAAAAACACACACACACACAATATCTATGAAATTAACCGATCAACAATACATCTCTGCTTTTCAATCTCATTTCTTCACTGACACCTTTCTCCTCTCCATCCAGAAAAGCCCGAACAAAGACGCCAAAGAGAAAGCAGAGAAGCAAGCAGAAGCAACGTGGAGCGAGAGATGGCGCCCAGTGATTCCCCGGATTTCAAACAGATTGCTGCTCTTCTTTCCATCATCAGTGGTTTGGCCATAAGCCATCTCTTCACCAGCAGAGTTATAAGCATAGGCTCTCACGAAGTAAGTCGCGGTTGGCACGTCTTTCTCAACCATCCACTGATCAGAGCTCTGATTTCTTTGGTATGGTTTGTTAACAATGGTGAATTGGCATGTCTTGTCTTTGCTCAGATTGTCCACAGTTTTCCTCCATGCTCGGTCAACCTGGCTGATCGGTGCATAACAAAGCTTCACTATGACATTCTTGTACAACTGATCAGCCATGTCTGCTGTGAAACTCTGGTTCAAACCCCAGGTCAGAGTTATTGTGTCTTCTCCAGCATTTAGGACTGCACAATGAATTAGAGGATATCATTAGACCAACCTGCGCTGGGTTCTTTCTACAACCTTAGTCACTTTGCGTTTGTTTTGTCAGAAAATGTTTTCTGCATTTTTTCACCATTTGATAGGATGGAAAACGATAGTCAAGTGAAAATGAGCTAATTTTGGTGAAAACATTTTATGGACCTAATGAGACGTATCATACAATATCCACTTCTACCAACCACCACCACAACCAGTACGCCGCCCCATTACCACCACCACCACCCACACTACCAACAACCACCAATCACCATTATTTTCCAGATCGCAACCAAACACAACAACATATTTAGTGGAAGACGTTTTCTAGAATTTTTTTTTCTTTTTTCTTTTTGAAAACTATTAAATTCTCTAGTTAATGCTCAATCATCCTCCTTAGTCTCTCAATCCAACAGCATCTAATTACATGATTAGTTTTTGAATATCAAACAAGTACCAACAGTAGTTTTCCTTTCTTCTACGCAATAATTGGACTGGTTATATTAGCAAAACAACATAAGAGATTTTGAGTCTTTTGTGGATTTGTAGTCCCCATCTTACACATTCAAACACATGCCACACACTTATAAAGAGTAGATGTTTCTTTGTGAGTGTTTAGATGTGTATTTGGGTGTGTAAATGAATTGCTATTTTTCTCAATTTGACTAGCCTAACAGCAAAAGAACGAAAGTTTCTAAATCATTGGTTTGGTTTTTTTTTTCTTTTTCCCTTCGTAAACCTAAATCTTTTTCATATGTAATTTTGAAACCCAGATCATATTTCTCAAAGACAAGTTATGTTGTAAAATTGTGAAATGAAAACACGACTTCAAGCAACACGATAAAGTTGTATTTTTAAAACACAACTTTAAACTTTAATTAGATTTGCAAAATACAAAATAGAAAACAAGAAACTAACAACGTTATCAAACGACACTAACCACTGGACTCTTCGTGTTTATGGGTTTTCTCAGCAGTGTAAAGGAGAGTACTGCAATTACCTTGCCCTTGTTGAGGAGAAGCAGAGACAACTAGTGTTTGAGGAAGGGAAGAGAACATCACACCTCCACCATAGCAAGTCTCTGCTAAGCAGAAAAGGAGGATAATAACAAAAGTCGTGAGGAAACAAGTTTCCATAGAAGTTGTTTTTGTTTTTTGAAAGAGTAAAAGTAAACTCTGAGATAGCTTCTTAGGCCATGGAAGAGGAGAGAGTTGATGATGCTCTCCATTTTATATTGGAAACAAAGGTGTCTCAAAAGACAAATGTGTCCACACTTGCTTGAGCAGCCTTTGAGGACTAACAAAGCAATGGGAAATGGTCCTACGATAATGATATTAACCTTTTGCAATGGCCCTTTGACATTGCTAACAGTTGTTTAGTTTGACATTTCATGGTCTGACTTTAGCCTCTCATATCCCTATATTTGTTTGGGTGGACATGATCTTGGAATTAGACTAATAATATCTGATGTTTGGTGAAGAAATTGAGGCCCGGACTGGTAGTCCACGTGGGCATAGTATCCCCTATATGAGGAAGGTACAAAATAGGAGCTTAAGGAGAAGTTCGAACTAATTATTTAAATTGCAAAATTGATAGGATTTTATAAATCCAAACATGAAATAGGATATACAATCAAAGGGATTGATAGTTCTAGACATGCTAATCCCACCTAATTCAATCTCGTCCTAACAAACTCGGTACCCAACTAAGCACCTGTTGCATTGTGTTTCCATTTATTAGGGTCTGTTGCATTGTATTTCCATTTTCTGTATTCTATTCTTATTTTTCCAAACAACACACAAAACTTATACGACAGGTTGTTTTTTAAAAATGTTTTCAGAATTTTTTTTTTTCTTCTTGAAAATAACCCATTTTTAGGAACATAAAAAAAGTCATTTAAAACAAAAAGAAGAGAACTATGATTGTTTTTGAACCTTTTGTTAATTTCATTTTAGAATATACTTTCATTTTCAAACTTTTTGCTACGAGCACAACATAATAGAATAGAACACAAATTTATGTCCCATTAGATTATCAGTAAGGTAAGAACATAACCAAACAAAACTTTAATGTTTGAAGGACTAGCTAGTGGTCAAAGCCCTGAAGGGAGACTCTCAAGTATGATAAAAGGAGGAGGAAAACACAGCCCCACCTACCTCATTAGATCCTATCAGTAAGGTGGAAGGTCAGGTGATCATTGAAAGATGGAGAGTTTAAGGAACTTAGAAAATCATGATCTCAATTATCCTTTTTAAGTAATTGAGATAGCTTAATTGGTCATCTCTATACACTTCTATCTGAAAGATCAGAGGGTCAATCCTTACTAAATGTATTAAAATATAGAGACATAAATTTGAAGACAGAGGAACCCATGTTTTTTTTTTTGTGTAATAACCGGGTATGCGAGATAATTGATGTGTGCCTTGAAAAGTAACCCATGTAGAAAAACCAATGTTGAGGAGTAATTTTTATCAAGGGTCACTATTTGACTTAAAGGCATGCGGTTTGACATAAGTTTGATTGCCTTGTAAGCTTTTACCTAGTTCAAGCATTGGCATAAGACTAATGGGGCCTAGGTTTGAAACCAAACTCATTTGTACCAAATTAGTTAGACAAGAGCTGGCTTAAGATTTTTGCTTGCAGTTCAAGCCATCTTGCTCTTTGAATAAAAAAATCCATTAGGCTTCCAATGTTTGAGGAGTAAGTTTTATCAAGGGTCACTATTTGACTTAAAGGCATGCGGTTTGACATAAGTTTGATTGTCTTGTGAGCTTTTACCTAGTTCAAGCATTGGCATAAGACTAATGGGGCCTAGGTTTGAAACCAAACTCATTTGTACCAAATTAGTTAGACAAGAGCTGGCTTAAGATTTTTGCTTGCAGTTCAAGCCATCTTGCTCTTTGAATAAAAAAATCCATTAGGCTTCGCTTGCCCGCGATCTTGAGAGAGTAAAAGGGAAATCAGAGAAATAAATAAATAAATAAATAAATAAATAAATAAATAAATAAACCCTCTAAAAGGAATGGAAAAATATGATAAGAAGAAAAGGAGATGCTAATTGTTATTGGATATTGAAACGCATCACGTTAATGATAGAAAAGGGTTTTTTGAAATTAGATAGTCATTGGTATTTGGTACGTGTCAAACTATTTGTATTTAAGCAGGAAATTGGTTTTGAAGTTTTTTGGACTATAATAGTCACAAAAAATAAAATAAACTTTTTAATTTAATAAGACAAAACATCACATCTAATCTATAATCATTACATTCTTTCTCTCACAAAAAAGCTAAAAAAGTCAAAAAAGCCAAAAGTTCTTCCCAAACCAGATTTTTTAGCTCTAAAATAGTTAAAAAGTCAAAAAGCTAACTCCCTTTCCAAACGAGCTCTTTTAAGAATTTTTTTAGATTATGAATTTATATAAAACATGGAGATTTTTTTTTTCTTTCTTCAAAAATTTAAATTTATAATACAAACACAAAATATTGTGCTTGAGTGCCATTTTGGGAACAAAATAAAAAGCCATGTTTTTTGACAAAATATCCAAAAAGGCAACAAATGTGGTTTGGAAAGTGCAAAAAATGCAAGTGTAAAATTACAAATTAAGGCTTATGAAAAAAAAAAAAAAATAAATTCCTTATGTTGGGTAAGGGTATTTTGGTCATTTTAATTTGATTTGACACCATAAATAAATATACAAAATAAAAAGCCATGTTTTTTGACAAAATATCAAAAAACGCAACAAATGTGGTTTGGAAAGTGCAAAAAATGTAAGTGTAAAATTACAAATTAAGGCTTGTGAAAAAAAAAATAAAAAAATAAAATCCTTATGTTAGATAAGGGTATTTTGGTCATTTTAATTTGATTTGACACCATAAATAAATATTAAACTAAAAAGTAAAAAGTCAATTTTTTATCAACTTCTCAAATCGCTTTTCAAAAAGCTAAAAAGTTTGGTAAAAAGTGAAAAGCCAACTTTTTATCAACTTCTCAAAACACCTCTGATTGTTAATCACAATAGAGTGCTTCAGTCAATCAATAAAACACGATATTATTGTTATTTTTAATTTTAATCTAAATAAGTATATTTCTTACTTTTTATAAAAAGATGTGTAGAAAAATAAAAAAAAGATATAACTAAAAAACAATAAAAAATATGGTAGTCTTAGGGTTGTTTTGGGAAGTTGGTTAAAAGTGACTTTTTGGCTTTTAACCAAGCTTTTGGCTTTTTTAGACAAATGATTTGGGAAGTTGGTAAAAAGTGACTTTTGACTTTTTTGATTAATATTTGTTTATGATGTCAAATCATAATAAAATGACTAAACTACCCCCATTTATTTAAAATATTTACAACTGAACCTATGTAACACATTGTGACCCATGAGGGGTAAAATTGTAATTGCACCGTTGGCTAAAAACCAACTTGTCAAATGAAAAAAAAGCCAAAAAAACCAACTTTTAGCTTTTGCTACTAACCAAAAAAAGTGACTTTTAGCCAAGTTCCCAAAATAGCCCTTAATATAACTATTTTTTGTATTCAACCTCCTTAACCTTATAATTTTGACATAAAATGATTTATCTTTTAATAAAGTAAAAGAAGTCAGAACGAAATCAAGAATTTGTAACATGTGGCTACCATTTTGACCAAAAGTATTTTTTAAAAGGAGATTTTAATAGCTAGTCATTAACTTTTGTTGAAAAAAAAGAAGAAAAGGAAAAATTCAGTTGGTACGAAAGCACAAATACATAAATAAGATAATTAAAAATAAAAACAAATAAAAAAAAAATAAACCAAAAAAAAAAAATAGTTGTAATTAGGCAGACATACCAACCACATGAGAAATTATGCTCTCTCTCTCTGTACCTCGCGCAACCAAGAGCGCATTTTTAACTGTTGTGCTGTGGTCTCACATTTTCTGAACAGATTATTTTATAATTTTTTTGATTAAAACATAAAATAAAATAATTAATATATTTAAAATATTTTTTAAATTTTTTAATTTTTAAACTAAAACACGCCAAACGAGGCGTTAGCCGAATTCGCCACCACACACACACACACACAAACGCAAAACCACCAACACTTCTGTAACCCTTCTGTCCCTACGCATGCTCTCGGAGCTCCGGCTCCTTTATACGGAGCTCTAGCGCTCTCTCTCTCTCTCTCTCTAAAATAGTTTCTCTCTCAATCATTTTCCTATCATCACCTCTCTCTATATATATATATATACACACATATCTATATACCTGCAACGTTTCTCAAAATTTTCTTAGATCTTAAGCTATAATATTAATGTCGAAATCTTGGGGACCTATCGGTGCATCATGGGCTGCCGAAGCCGAGCGAGAGGAGCAAGAGCAAGAAGCCGCGGCAGCCCTGGCGGCGGCGTCCGGCGGAGATTCGCAGAGCTTTCCGAGCCTGAAAGAAGCGGCGGCAACGAAACAGAAGAAGAAGAAGATGTCTCTGCAAGAATTCGCGATGCAGACTTCGAGCGCACGAGGGCTCGGAGGCCGGAGAGATTCGCAGGGTTTGACGCCTCAAGAGATGCTCCGCCTCCCGACTGGGCCCAAGGAGCGCTCCGATGAGGAAATGCAGTACGGCCGCCTCGGCGGAGGCTTCTCCAACTACGGCCGCTCCGGCGGCGGTATGCCGAATCGGAATCGTGATCGAGATGCTGATGGTGATACTTCTTGGGGTGGTGCTGGTGGTGGTCGTAGATCTTATGGTGGATTCGATGATGATCGTAGAGGTTCACCTAGGGTTTCGGATTTTGATCAAACATCTAGGGCTGATGAGGATGATAATTGGGCAATGGGGAAGAAATCGATGCCTTCTTTTGATTCTGGGCGTTCTGGTCGGTATAGTTCGCTGGGTGGTGGTGGAGGTGGAGGTGGAGGTATGTCTAGGGCTGACGATGTTCATAATTGGGCGGCTGGGAAGAAGCCAATTGGGCTAAGATCTTCGAATTTCGGTTCGAATTTCCGCGATTCGGGTCCAGAACCTGATCGATGGACCAGAGGAGGGTTTCGTGATGGAGACCGGGAACAAGAACGTGAACGCCCTCGATTGGTATTGGATCCGCCGCGAGTTGGGGAAGCTGTTGTTGAGAATGTGAAGACCGCGATAACTACATTGAATAAGCCGAACCCGTTTGGGACTGCGCGGCCTAGGGAAGATGTATTGGCTGAAAAGGGTCTGGATTGGAAGAAACAGGACCTGGAAATTGAGGCGAAGAAAACGAGTAGGCCAACGAGCTCGCAGTCTAGCAGGCCTTCGAGTGCACAATCAAGCCGGTCTGAGGGTCCAGCATTGCAGTCAAGGCCAAAGGTGAATCCTTTTGGGGATGCTAAGCCTAGGGAAGTCTTGCTTGAAGAGAAAGGTGTGGATTGGAGGAAAATTGATTTGGAATTGGAGCGTCGTCGTGTTGACAGGTTTGTTTTGTATATTTTCCTTGTCTTTCTTTGATCACCTGCAGCAGCATTTTTGTTTTAGTGCACCCTGAAGCTATTCATTGTTTAAATCTCATTATGTTAGTGTGTTGTTTTATGCCTATAAGCTGTTTAAAATTGCTGTAATACTTGCTATATAAGCTGTCAATGTCTATCTGTTTGTTGATATGATAAATAGAAATAATATTATGAAGCTATTCATACTTTATAATTCATTCTTGTTAATAATTCCTATTTCTCATTTAGCTTGAGATTTGGATACTTGCTTAGCTTAATGCCAACCAACAGGAGAAAACTTTCAAGACTTCCCACATTAGAATAGACCTGGACAATTTATTCATGTCCTGATTCCTCAATGTCTTTGTGGAGTGGTTAAGATGTTACATGTATGGTGTATTCCCTGATTTAGTGAAGGACAAATATCTGTAGCAGCAACAACTTGAGTTTACTTAATTCCATTTTAATAAATTTAAATTATTGTGATTTTATATATCCTTTAGGATCAGGGACTGAGACAGTCTTTGTGATGGCAATAAGAAAGGGATGAAGTACGGTTAAGGTTATGCATTAGCCCCAAATACCTAATCCCATATTTTGTTATCATGTATTATTCATAATTAGGCTACTAGTGCCGTGGTTAAAACTTTGACTATCAATTTGGGGTTGTGGGTTCAAATGATAGGGCAACCATGTTGTCAAAATAATGCCAAATCTTTGGTCTGCATCCAATTTATCCTTTCCAAGCCCCATCCAATGGGGACTAAATTTGGTTTACTTTTTAGGTATTATTCATAATTGATTTCACTTCATCAGCATTCATCACCGTAGAAATCTTCCAGGTTCTTAAAATGTGATTGCTTAAAATTAAAATGTTACTGCAACGACCTGTATTTCTCATTTGTTAGATTAAAAAAAACAAAGAATGGTGTAGAAGCTATCTTAATTATTCACAAAAGGAAGTATTTGATGGGAAGCAACATGAATGATACTTGCATTTATGGTAAGAAATGTGATGAGCAAAGTTTTGAAAGGTTTTATTAGTAATTGTTTTTCATTGTTTAAATTTTTGTCTTTTATGATTCTTGCATAAATGAGTAGGATGATGTAACGCATTTGTAATTATTTGTTGCTAGCTATTATTAAATTAGTTAGGCCCTTCCTCCTCTTGAATCCTTGATACATGAACAACATAAGTCAAGGTATATATATTTCTAACCAATTCATGTAGAATTACCCAGGCTTCCCTTGTTACTTTATTTAGTATAAATGTGGGTTATTTGTTCTTGTAGCTTCTGTGGAGTGGTCTCAGTATGGCTGATTCTAAATATTTGCTGCTGAAGCTACTTGAGCACCATTCATTTATTTTTGTTTTGTGGTATTGGTAGATTGATTGGTTGTTTTTTTGGTATCTTTATTGTTGATGCAATGAAATCTGTTAATATGAATTTGTGATGCAGGAATGACAGTTTTATGCATAGTCTTGTGGTAAACTCGAATTAGTAGATGTGCTTGTTACACATGTCGGACACATTCCCATGCCCTTATCCAAGTGTTTAGTGTCCAACATGGATACTTCATACATTTAGAACCATTTAAGTGGAACATACAATTTTGAAGTGTCAACAGATTTGGCTTGTGTGGTCAATGCCAATTCCTCTTTCTTGGAAGAAGTTAAAAACTTGTACCTCTTCACATGATTTCCAATAAATATTTTTTTTCCTCTTTTGAATCTAAAAAATCTCTGCTTTTGCTAGTGACGTGTAGATGAAGAAAGTTGCATGCCATCTGTTTCATGTATACCAGAAATGTGGCGTTCACAACATGTAGCAAATTAATTAGCAATTTACCCTACACACCTAGAGAAATGTATGCGTGATGCACATACACATGATCAAATCTACTAATGAGAGAAAGGGAGAGATAAAGACGGAGAGTTGGAAAGTTGTGGGGACCTGTAAAAGATTTGGGTCTAGTTGCAGGTTCAAAATTAGTTGAAATTACTAAAGGTGTTCTTGTCCTTTTAATTCAAAACAATAAACATTGCTAAAACTAGAATGTTGAAACATTGATCTCAAAACTACCCCTAACAAGTTGTTTCTCCTGTAAACGGTATTAAGCCTTCAGTGTACTGGTTGTGTTTTCAAGATGGTACATACCGGCTAGTACAGTGCAGGATTCATAACATTGGCATGCATGCTTGTGCACACACTATGATTCGGTATTATTTGTTTGTCAATTTTATGTGAGTTTGCTGTAGGCTATTCATGTGTTGAGGCTTACTAGGTAAAGTAGATGATGGACATTATTATTGGTCTTTAAAGAGGAGAAATTGTTTCAGGCCTGAGACAGAGGCAGAGAAGAATGTGAAAGAAGAAATAGACCAACTAAAGAAGGAACTGGAGAAAGAATCTGCTAAAAATGCTAACAGGGAATCCCTGGAAGTGTCTGGTGAAGGCCAAACCAGTTTACATGATATAATACTTGGTAAAGAAAGGGACTTGGAACAGTTGATCCTGGAATTTGATGAAAAAGCCCGCTTTGTTCAGAAAACCATTGACAGGCCGGGTTCTGGAGCAGGCAGGGTTTCTAGCTTTCCTGAGAGACCTCCTTCTCAGTCTGGAGCATTTGAAGAGTCTAGAAGTATGGAATTCATGGAAAGGCCTCGATCACGTGGCACTGGAGATATGTGGTCAAGGCAGGGTGATGAGATAAGAGGTTTTCAAGGTGGCAGAGAAAGAGGATTTCTGGGCAACAGAGACATGGACAGGTATGGAATGTCACCACTTGTTCTTTCTTATGTCTGTGATTTTGTTCCCATCAGTTTTAGTGAGGAAGTTAATAATTTTCAACCAAACCATTATTTATGAATTTTGATTTGAGATCTGAGAACATTTATAACTGTTTGTTGTTGAATATGAGTCCACAAAAGTCAATAATATTATCACCATTATTAACTAATGAGAAAATATAGGATTTAAACATTTTTTTATATATAGAAAATGGCCATTTGCATGCTTAAATATGCAAGTATGATAAATATGATGAAAGGTGTCTGCATTCTGATATATGTATTCTGTACATTATATTTGTAAATACTCGTGTTACATGTATATGATACATGTAAGTATGTACAAATCACAAAGTGTCTGTATTATGAAAACCAAGTAATGACGTCTTATATGTTATACACTGTTAAGAAGACTATTTTTACCATAACAGTTCTGAAATCCTTTCTGTGCCGTAACTTCTATAATCTTTATACTTGAGTGATTCTCTAAGCAATTGTAACCACAACGGTCTTAACCCTTTTCACACTCATCATCAGCTCACTTGTTGAATCTATTTATCAATTTTGGAAATAAATATCAGGAGACTAAAATATGTAAATTCTTCTGCCAGGTCTTGCAAGGGCAGTGAGACTCACAAATGTGAATTTATTTCTTCACCATATTTGACATAGTGTACATGTCACTGTCCTCTGTATTGTGCATTTTTCGGAATAGGGGTATTGTATATAAATTATATAATTGTATACATAAATTTCCATTTTCATTGTACCTTTATTATATGATTATCGCATTTGCAACACACTGTTCTTTTGCAATATTATATTTGAAATTTAAACAACTATTGTATGTTTTTGTATTTTTTCCCTTGCGTTATATATTCTACTCTACATTTACAAAAATGTTCTAAACCAGTTAATTAGGATGTCATGAAGTATTAATGGATGCTTTTCTTTTTCTTTTTTTTTTTTTGCCCCCCCCCCAAAAAAAAAAAAAAAAAAAAACTACTAAAAGAAAAAATACCCACCACTGTTTCATTCATTTGAGACTGGTAGTTGTACCAAAAATTAGAATTGACTGTTGTGTAAGGTTTCTCACAAGGTTACCAATACTAGTGAAGTCAGTTGTGAAGTGTGGGCATTTGAAATATATTGGAGACAAAAAATAGGATCGCTTTTGATCATTAAATTTACTGTTTTGAAACGAAAGTGTACCATAATTTGAAATGTTCATACCAAAATGTAAATTGCCAAGGCATTAGCATTTTCTGGTAACATTGGTCAGGCCATTGGTTGTACCTAGATTTTCACCCTCCCCTAGTGTCAAGAAATAGATTGAACTGAAGAGATTTCTCAATATGATGGTTCTATTGCAAAATCATGACGACAGTGGATTTTTAACCTTCCCGGTTATGTAATTAAATTATTTTTAATGTGTAAACAACCTAGATACATTTGTTGTTCATGACACTTGTATCTAACATGGTTAGAATTGTCTCAAAAAAAAAATAAAAAAGGAAGATTGCAACCTAGACACTTGCATATAACAACCTAGACACATTTTTTTTAAAGAAACACTGCTTCTGCAATACATTTGCATGTAAAATATAATGAATTTTCTCAAAATACTGTTAATGTGTGTAATCTTGTTTTGTGGCAGGCCAAGGTCGAGGGATAGATGGTAAGCGCTCCAGACGGTGTGGATTCATTGAGTTTCTCTCTTCTACTTTTGACAATTAGAACAAATAATATTTTGTCAACTTACTTTTAATTTATTTTTTCTCTTTGATTTTGCCCTGCGGAGTGGGGCTAGAATTATTGAGTACGAACTCTTGCGTTGATCTAGTGTTACAGATTGGAGCACTGTAAAATTGCATTTTTTTCTTCCCTTCTTTTCAGTCATGTCTCAAGGCAACAAGCCTGTTTTGTTTATTGTTGTTTTTTTTAGGTACATCGGAAAGTTGTTTTGTTTATTGTTGTTAAGACTCTTAATTTGTGATATGATATACATTCATGGCTTCTCTCTCTCACTTATGCCTGCTTGTGTTAGTTGATTACTTTGGTGTTTAAATGTGTTCCTCAACCAACCCTGACTACCCCATCCTTTCCATGTGCTGAAGAATTTGTGTTGAAAAATAGATGAGCCCATGTGGCTGGCTCTGTTCAACTGAAATTTGGAATTGGGCCCGGGGTGTTGAACCTTTTTCTTTTTCTTATTTTTTTTAACTAATTTTTGGAGAATGTTGTTTCTGTGGCTCAGTGCGCATGTCAACAAGATGTTGATGTCATGTCTTATAGTTGGGATAAGTTGCCCTTTTCTCTTAGGCTTCGTTTGTTTGGCTTGATAGGATAAAGAGAATTAAGAGTATGGTGAGATTGAATAAGGAAACTATGGATGTAGTGGCATTATGTTGGAGGTGTAAGATAAAGAGTTTGTTTGTATACCACTATAGTATTAATATATAAAATTAATATTTTTAAATTTTTGCATAAATATAATTTTGCATAAAAATCATTTAAAATTCTTATAAAAAATAATACTTTTTTTTAGTATTTATTAAAAATTTTAAATATTTCTTTCACAAACAGATTATTTGAAAAAAATATTATTAAAAATATTTTAATCCATCTTAGAAAAAAATCAAAACTTTATGAAATTTTATAAATATCTTCTTTTATCATTCTATTTGATGTAATACAAGGGGCATAATGGTCTTTTAATCATTAATATCCTCATTAGATTTCGGGAGGTTCTATTTGCACACACCACATCCACTTTTCACACACACTTAATGAAGAAATATGTTGGAGGGTTGTGTGTGGAAGATGTGTATAGAGAGAGGTGTGTGTGTGTGAATAGATGCTCCCTTAGATTTCTAATCCCATGGGTTTTCTTTCCAAGCTACCCCCAATCAATGAGGGGAATTGCTAGTCTCCTTTGCGATTGGGAATTGCTTAGTCTCGTTAGGGATGTTTGTTTAGAAAGATTAAAGGGTGGAGGGAGCAATCTGTAATGAAACTTTAAACCTCAGAGAGGGATGTAATTTCCAAAAAGTGAGGGGGGAACTGTAATAAATATAAATCTCAGGAGCTATCAATGTAATTTACCCTTTTATTTAATTTCATTATTTAATATTTAATAGTTTTTTAAAATAAATTTATTTAAAATTTTATTTTCAAAATAACATAAATTTTTATTGATGTTTTTATTTATTTAATTTAGTTAATTAAAAAAATAAATTTATTTAATTTTTATAAAATAAAATAAAATAATTTTTTATTTAATCTTCCCAAAAATAATTAAAATATTAAAGACAAATTTAGTAGTAAACAATTAAAAAGGGTAAAACAGTTTATTAAACATTTATCTTTCTTCATAATATTCTAATAAAACATTAGATTGAATATAATAGTCATTTGTGGACATCTAATCCCATGATAAAACAAACATGGGATATACATTATGTCCAACTAAATAGTCCAAGAATTATATATCCCAAGATTAATAGTCTGATAGATTATAATTCTGTTTTATCTAGTCCGTCTAAACAAACATAATCTTAAAATGTTAATCCCACCACAACCTTTCACAACCAAACACCATTTATGTGATCTTCCCTCTGTAAGCCAAATAAATATGGCGTTACAGAAATTCAAAATTGGAAGCCAAAATTTTAATGTTATGTTTGGTTCATGATGTTGCGGAGAAGAGTGACAGGGGAAGGGAAAAGTAAATGCTCCTAGTCCATCACAAATTCAAGTTTTAAACAAACCCTGTACTTATCTTTCTTCCAAGCAGCCTTAGGAAGATGCTATTGTTATGTTTGGATCCTTTCAGAAATCCAAGTTCCAAATATATTGTTTGGTATAGCATATTTGAGTTGCTCATAACTATTTTTATTTTTATTCTGGGAGTGTGTATTAAATTGTTTGGTGTATTTATTAAGTCGAAATAATTTAAACAAGTTAATTTTTTTTTTTAATCTATAAATACTTTTGGTTTCTACTTTTTGATTATGAGCTTTAGCGGCTTGGCTCATAATCTTTGAAAACTATGTTTGAATTTTGAATTTATAAAAAATAAAAAAGTAAAATAACAGAAGAAAACGTTGTATTTGGATATTGAATTTGTAAAAAGATAAAAAAAAAAAATAATAATAATAAAAGAAAATAAAATGAAAGAAGTTAAATTTATTTCATTCATTCAGCGAGAACTAAATTTATGATTTGAGAACTGAACGTCTACTATTATTACCATTTATTATTAATTTATATACCTTGAAACCTTATGTCACATAACATTTGAGACAATGCATTCTTATCTAGGCATATTTCACTTCATACCATGATGATAATAAATCAAAAGGAACATTAGATCATCAGACCTTTAAGATGGTTGTGTTTTCACAATCTCAAGAGATCAACAAGTCATTGTTTGATGAAACAAGAGCTCTATGCTATGGATTGTAATAACTGTGGCATTGTTAGGAGATGGAAAGGTCATTGGACCCAGAGGCAGATGAAGAGGATGGAAGCATTGGCAATTGTATTAGCTTTTGTCGCTGCTTTCTCTGTTTTCACCATTGCCATGATGCAGGTCAGAAAACCAGGCCTTGGCCACCTGTCAGGAAACTGTCGTTTTTTAACAATTTTCAGCTTCGGCGATTCTAATTCTGACACTGGCTCCATGTCGGCAGCGTTCCCCCGGGTCCCATCTCCATACGGGCAGACCTTCTTCGGTAAACCTTCTGGTCGATATTCTGACGGGCGCCTTATCATTGATTTTATAGGTAAATTAAAGGTTGGCTCAGGTGTTGTTTGCTGCAACTTGTATGTGTTGCATATGACTTTTTTTCCCCTTAATTTATTTTTATTTTTATATTTTGGGATTTTTTCTAGATTGTTTGTTATAATTTTTGCTTACATCTTATGCCATCTCCAGCTCTTTGTAAAAAAAAATGATCTCCAGCGGTGTACCATAATGGCTGCCAAATTATAGTAGCTTTGAACTTAAAATAAGATGCAACAGAATAAACCCCACACCCACAATAGCAAGAAGAATCAATCACAAACAAGAAAAAAACGATACAAAATCACTTGGTTCATCAAAATTGCCTACGTCTATGGCTCACACCAGTTCTATTATACTGAAATAAGAGAAAATTACAATACGAGTATTAAATTTAGAAGTGCCATAGTACAATTTGCCAATGCATAACCATATGCACAATACTAATCAGGCTCCACAAACTCAACACACCGTTAACAACATTGGCAACAAAACCTTCTCGAGCTTGTCACCTGTTCTGTTGCTAGCTAAATCTTAGGAGCAACTCAATCTCTGTGTGTGTGTGTGTGTGTGTTCTTCACTGACTCTGGTTATGAATTTTGTGCAGCTGAGAAGTTGGGAGTGCCATACTTGAGTCCATACCTGGATTCAATCGGATCGAATTTCAAACATGGAGCGAATTTTGCAGCAGCTGGATCAACCATAAAGCCAGGGTCTCTTCTCCATCTCACCATACAGCTTGCTCAGTTTGATCAATTCAAAGCGCGCACAATCGAGCTATACAACCAAGGTTTGGCATATATTTACTGTAATTTGTTCTGGCTTAAAGTAATACTATATAACAATGTGCTTTAATTTTGAAGAAAATCACATCATATGCCTTGTGATTTCATGGTATATCAGCTAAGAAGAGTTCATATGCCAAAACCAGCCTCCCAACACCTGAGGATTTGTCAAAAGCTGTTTATATATTTGATACTGGACAGAATGATCTTTTTGCCGGGTTAACAAACACGACAGAGGATCAAGTTCTGACATCCATTCCTGGTTTAATCGATGAATTCTCTTTAGGCATGGAGGTAAAATCTTGCCCAAACACAGTTAATGAAACAAAGAAAGTCTTAAATTCAACGAATTTTTAGATCTGGACAGCCCCTAGCCACGTTTGTTTGGAGGACTGAATTAGGGGATAAGACTTGAGATTGTTTGGTTAAAGTGGGATAAAGATTGAATAAAATTTGAAAGACTCTTTTGTTTTGTTAGGGGTCTCTCCACAACTGCATATATCTAACTGTTTTCAGACCTTGCTGTGGCGAGAGTCTGGTACACTCAACTGTTTAATTTTTTTAGTAATGTTTCAGATCCTCTACAGACAAGGAGCAAAATATTTTTGGATACACAACACAGGCCCAATAGGTTGCATGCCCACCTTTATTGTGAATTATAAACTTTATAAACTAAAGCCTAGCAATGCTGACCAAAATGGTTGTTTCAAGTCTCATAATGAGGTGGCTCAAGAGTTTAACAAACAACTTAAGGACAAGGTGTCCCAACTACGGACCAAATTTGAAGATGCATTACTGGTCTATGTTGATATCTACTCTGCCAAATATTCTCTCATCAGTGAAGCTAAAGACTATGGTAAGTTTAATTAGTTAATGATTTTTTCTCTTTCTAAATCTCTACTCAAATTTATGATTCAAACACAGAGTCTAACAGTTTGATAGAGACTAGGCGAGAAAAATAAAAAAAAAAATATTATAATGATGATTTTTTATTATTTTGTTTGGAGAAACAAGAAATATGAGAGGATAGATGCCTTTTTATTTTTCTTTCTTGCTTTGTATTTAGATAAGAATTTAGGCAACGCGATAATTTTAAATATAATTTATTTTTTCACCAAATCTCACTAATTTTAATGAGAAACAAAACATTTTAAGTGACTTCTCTGTTAAGGTCTTAAAAACATAGCTATTTTGGCTTCAATGAGGTTGAGGTACCCTAGTTGTGAAAATTTATTCAAAAAAATAATATGTGGTCTAGTTTCATCCTTGTTGAAGCTTTATGAGTTCTACTGTGCTATTTTTGCATAAGCAAATGTAGCTAAATTTACCTAGAAAATAATGTGTGGACCGAACTTAGATCTTATAAACCCTCACATAATTTGTAGTCTAAATTCAACTCTTACATGGTAGGCCCAACGCCTAAAATGAATCTGGATCACACATTATTGTCTTTGCATATTTAACCTCTCTGTTTGGGATGCAGGCTTTGTTAATCCTTTTAAGTATTGCTGTGGACATCATGGGGATTACAGTGTTAAATGTGGGGAAATAGCAGTGGTGAATGGGACTCCATTGTATGGATCTGCTTGCAGTAATCCCTCTGAATACATCAGCTGGGATAGCGTTCATTACACTGAAGCTGCAAACCAGTGGGTAGCCAACCACATTCTTGATGGTTCTTTCTCTGATCCTCAGATTCCAATCGCCCAAACATGTCCTAATAACTCTGTTCATTCACAGTAATTAGCTCAATCATCTAAGTCAAGTTTTGCAAACAATGGAATAAGAAAATAACTAATTGGCTATGGAATTTGTGTTGTGTTCTCATTCCTGATCCATTCTGTTTGGTTTTGAGTTTTCAAAAGCGGTTTTCTTGAGCTTTTTAATTTTAATTTTAATTTTTGTTTTAATTTTTTTTTTAGATAAATTGCATTGTCCTCTCTTGAGATTTGGAAAAAATACAACAAACTCTATAATTTTGATATAATTACTCAAACTTCTCTTTTAGCAAGATTAAAGAGACAAAATTATTGCAAATGGTATAAGAACATAACTATGTACAATGTAAAATGTATGTTTCAATATAATAGAGATAATAATATTATTTTTTTCATTTATACAACTGATCTGATGAAAAGAGAGACAAATGTTATATGAATTTTAACTCTAAGGGAGCCTAATATAATTATACCAAACTTGTATAGCTTATTTTATTTTCTTCAAACCTCAAGAGGGGTCATTGTAATTTACCTTCTATTTGTGTAATGAATTTTTTTAATATTTTAAGGATTTTTTTTAAAACTTTTTAAATGGACGATACACTTAAAAAATAAAAATATTTGTGAGGAAATATAAAATAAAAGAATTTAATAAATACAAAAACATATAAAAAAAAATAGGTGAAATACTAATAAATCTTAAAATGTAATCTTGTAAACTATTTAGTCTTTTTTTTTTTTTTTTTTTGTTCTTATAAATCCAAAGGTCCCATTAAAGTGGAAATTACACAATAGGTAGTCAGTTGCACGTTTGGATTTAATTTTTGAGAAATAAAAGTGGGTTCAAGGTTGGCCGTGGGGATAGGCCCACTAGGTTATGGCTAAGGGTCCCTCAAAATAGACCCAAAAAAGAGGCCCCTCCTATTTTAGTTTAGTTTAGTTTAATATATTAGGTATGTTTTAAGTTAAAAAAAAAAGAAAAGAAGAAAGGCCCAAACTAACTTCAAATAAATTGACTCATTAAAAGATTAAAAAATCCATTCAAAATTAAAAGGGCACATACTCTCTCTTTATCTAATTCCTAACCCTAACTCTTAATTCAATTTTCTCAAAAAACTGAGAGAAACGGCACAACAAAATACTAATGAATTTCTAAAAAATTCAGAGCAAGATGATTGATTTATTTGCTTCTAAAAATGTAAAAAAAGTGAGGATTAATTGATACTTATTAATTGTTGTAATATAAGGCTAAATATTTTTTGTGATTTTGACACAAATCTTTTGTCCTTTACCTTCAAAAAAAATTTCGTTGAATGAAAAAAAAAAATGTAAGGGACCCCAAATGATCTAGTAATATTTGTTAGTTGATTATTGGATTTGGATCTCGAAAATCTTAGGGTCGGGCCTGAGTGGGTTTTCCCAAATGTAAAATTACACATTTGGCAACCCATATTATAGAGATTTTGAATTTTCCCTTCTTTTGGAACAAATCATACATTGCAAACAAATATAACACTCTAATGTAATATACTAAAAAATAATTGTAATGTATTTTTTTCAAATTTAAGAACATTGGACTCCAAAAAAACTCTTTTGTGTACATTTTTCAAATGCAACACTCTAATGTAATACACTTCTTAGTGTAAATTTCCTAAACTATTAACACTCTAATGTAACACTAAAAAACTCGAAGTGTACTTTTTTCAAACGTAATACTCACAGTTTGAAATTATACATTTGTCCAAAACTTACTAAAGAATTTTTGTATTCTTTTTGGAATAGTTTGAAGAATCTCACATTCTTTTAGAATTTTTTTTTTTAGAATCACACATCTTGTTTTTGGAGCATTGCATTTGGAAAAAATACACTAAAAGTTTTTTATGTGTTACATTGGAGTGTTATACTAAGGAATTTTTTTAAAGTGTTATATTAAAGTGTTACATTTAGAAAAAAAAATACAATAAGGAGTTTTTTTTAGAGTGTTACAGTTTGAAATTATATATTTGCTCAACACTTGTTAAGGAATTTTTGTACTCATTTTGAAATGTTCGAAAAATCCCACATCCTTTTGAAATGTTTGAAGAATTTTATATTTCTAGTCATTTTTGTACTCTTTTTAAAATATTCTCAAAATAAAAAAGATTCTCATATAAAAATTTATCCCAAATTTGATTCTCAAAAATTGTATATTTTACCTTTCTAGTACAAAAGAAGAAGAAAAAAAAGAAGGAAACATAAATAAAAATAAGAGTATAATCATAAATCTAATTTTCAAATAATATATTAAACTATTTTTCTAAAATTAATGGGACTAATTGGTCTATAAAAAAATCCTTAAGACAAACGGATCACAATAATGAGGAATTTTATATGTAAATTTTCTTTAAAAAATATTGAATTTTTATATATATTTTTTGTATTTAATGATTCTTTAAATATGAAAATGTGAATGAATACGTACAATTTTTCGCACTCGTTTTATATATGATCTTGCTTGTCAAACTAATACTTGATGAAGAAGGAACAAAGCAATTCCATAGGAATAGTATGTATATCAAACTTGCACGTAATATAAATTGAACTTTTCAAATTCAATTGATAAAAATGAATGAAAAGGTCAGAACTCTAGAAAAAGCACAAGAAAGTTCATATAATGCACTGTTTTGATTAGTCAAATTAACGTATAAGATTGAGATTATAATTTTTGAGATTTATATTTCAATATTTAATTATAATTTTCTATTCAAATTAGATATTCAGTGAACATCGAATTTCATAAAAATATAGAATATTCAATAATGAGAGAGGTATTATATTCACAATCTTGCGTTGACCTCTAAAATTTTTAATCTTCTTACTATCAATTATTCTAATCAAACAGGTATAAAGTTCAAGATAAGCTTATAAACCTATATATATATGGACACTATTGGCCAAGGCATGACATAAGTGACCAAAATGGCTAGAATCTTGAATGCTCTCATTGGCGGCAGCGGCAATAGTGGTGGCGGTGTTATTCCAGTCTCCGGCGGCTTGTTCTTGTTGTGTGCTGTTGTGGTTTCACTCTCCATCATATCAATGATTCTCTTCGCCTGTCTTGATGATCCTGTCAATTCTGGTCGAAATCAACAGAACCACCATGCGCACGCACACCATTCGCATATGGCACATGCAGCACACGCAAACCATATGCATATGGCACATGCGGCGCACGCTCACCATACGCATATGGCACATGCAGCACACGCAAGCCATATGCATATGCATATGCATATGCATACAGGACATTAACATATGCAACTTCAGCTTGTACGATCCAAAGCATATGTCGCTTGGGAATTTGAAGAATGGCAAAATGTTACGTTAGCATTTTACACTTGCCACTTATTTACATTATCTTATAGTAAGCATTGCAGATTTGCAGTGGAGATAGGTAAGAGTGGTTAATAGACTCATTATATCAATATTATACTGATACATAGGTGATATATTAGTGCTGTTTATTTTATTATTTATGATTTAAAAACAATGTAAAAGTAATAAGTGTAGTACTGCATTACTCGTTTAGTAATGACATTTATATATCTTGTAATTTGTTTAGCAGTATGCTTGTGTCACAATGGTGAAACTTATTGAGTTGTTATATGTATATATATATATATATATATTTATATTGAAAATTTATGTAAGAATATTTGATGTAACTTTTAATTATAGCTTACGAGGTAAAAATAAGGTTGATCTAAGGGTCCTTGTGATTTTGTAAAAAAGATTTAAGAGTGAAAATAAGATTGATTTAATAATTGTAGACATATAGTTTTATTATGTTTTTTGGTATGAAAATAGATGATTCAGTTTTTAAATTATTTTTATCGCGTTGATATTTTTAAGACAAATACAATAAAATCATAATATTACATAGCAATATGATTTTTCACATGAATGATCTACTCATAAGCTTAAAAAATAGGAGGATTTGGTGATAGACTACTCATTATCTAACTTATTCTTAAAAAAGATAAGAATTATATGGATTATTTTAAAATCTTCTAATATTTTAAAACTTGTTTTTTTTACTATAATATCCTTATATATATATATATATATATATCAAATCGCAATCAAACACTATCGCATCTCAATCTCTCTTCTCTTTGTCTTGCTCTCTTACCACCGTTGCTCTCCATTGGCGCCATCGCCGCTCTCCATGGAACTCTTCCTATACTGTCTTCATTGCCACCATCGCTCGTCTCATCTATGGCCTTAGATCTGAGATTATTTACATTCGTCGTAAAAAAAAAAAGACCATTTGTGACGGTTCACGAACCTTAGATTTGAGATCCTTTACACACTGTCTCTCTGTCTTTGGTTCAGATGATTCATGCTCAGTGTGTGTGTGTGTGTCACCCACCATTTATGCTCTCTCTTTCTATCTATCTCTCTCTTCTTCTTCTTCTTCTTCTTCTTCTTCTTCTTTTTCTCCGCATGATGCTCTATTTTCAAATTCTGTCTCCCTATCTCTTTCTTTTCGCAGCGTATTTTAGAATAAAATTTTACTTTGAATCATAGAAAACTTTATTTGGATTTAGAGTAAAATTTATTATGATTTAAAGTAAAATTTGACTGTCGTTAAGAAGATCAGCATGACGTTAAGTGTCACAACCTAAACCTGCCCCTAAAAGTTTGATATCATAACCGGTCAGTAATCCGAGATTACCAAAGGCCTTCCTGTACAGATCAAAAATAAACGGGGCTAGTGGAAGTAATATACAACAATACTAATAGTCCAATGAGTTGTGCATCTATATGAACAAACATGTACATACATAAATGTTAATTTACCCACATACATATACATAGCTTATAACATCTTATGCAAAACACATACATGAAGAAACCGGGACCAACATTTGCTAACGGTCATCACGGCCTAGCCTCAACCCGGAGGCACCAAAACCCAGTAAGCTTCAAAACGGTGGCTCGGCTAAAGACCCCTTCTAGGTTTGTCCTCCAGAACGCTCACCTATATATATACAAAAAAACAGTG